AAAGCATAAACTCACTCACTCACTCACACTCACTTATGACACTTACAAATCTATATTTACAGATGGATCCAAGGGTGGTGACGCTATTGCCAGGATTGTCTCATCCCGGTTACCAGATATCTGTTCTATTTTTACAGCAGAAGCAAATGCAAATTTAACTGCACTAAACTATATTGACAACCAAACTAAACATAAAGAGTTCATTATTTTCTCAGACTCTCTTTCTTGCCTCCAGGCTATTAAAAACATATCTTCCACGCATCCACTTTTAATAGAAATTATTGATTTGTTTAATGATCTTGCTACTGGCCAATACGACATCGTTTTCTGTTGGTTACCCAGCCATGTTGGAATCACTGGGAACACAATGGCCATTGCTGCTGCAAAAGCAGCACTCAACAAATCTGCGACACAACTTCTGATCCCATACAGCGACATCAAACCTGTTATTAGATGTTACATCTGAGACCAAATGCAACAGCAATGGGACACCCAAGTAGGTATCAATAAAAGGGTATAAATAAATTACATGCAATAAAAGCAAATATCGGTTATACCTACTTGGGGTGTCAGTCAAGATTTGAAGAGATCATTTTACGACGATGTCGTATTGGCCATAGTAGATATAGTCACGAATATTTATTAAAAGGTGAAGATCCTCAACACAGTCAAGCATGTCCTGCTTGACTGTAAAGATTTTGACATCACAAGGGATAAATATTTCAAATCATCTTCTCTAAAGGATCTTTTTAACAATATTTATTTCTCATTTAATTTTTGGATTTTTAAAAGTAATAGAATTGTTTAGTAAATTTTGATTACATGTGTTGTATAAAATGAATGACCATTTAACATTTGTAGAATGACTTTATATCTGAGTTTGTTACTGGCAGTATCCTCAAAGGGGGCTGACATAGTGTCAGTTTATTGTCCCCCTGAGAGGATATAGTAAGTCCATTTCATTCAAAGAATAGTTCTGCCTACTAGTCCTTTAAACGTAGTATATTTGTCATTTTAATTTTGGCTAATTTTGCGTACAATCACCAGTTGCTGAAGGGATGATGTAAATCCTGCTGGGTTCCATGCAGGAAGCTGAAGCACTGTAAGTCCTCATGGTACCTAGTATGGTGATCAACCTTCAGTTGCTCGTGATCTACAACCCGTTTTTATACTGTGATGTTATATTCAGTACTATCAATTTTATGATTCCATACTAGTTTGAAAATATATTTCTGTGATAAGTCTAGTTATTTTACCGTCCTTCGTTGGCAGGTTTTTATATCAATTTCAATATATGGATTATGTTAAGCTATTGCTAGTAATGATATGGCTGAGATATTGCCAATGTGACTTAAAATGTAACTCACTCACTATTGTAAATAAACATCATGTAGTATCATTTTTCTTTGATCTTGAGAAAGCATACAATACTACCTGGAAGCATGGCATTTTAAAGGATTTACATGATTTTGGTTTGAGAGGTCACCTCATTTTATATCACAATTTTTAACAGACAGACAATTTCAGGTCACTATAATCAGGATCAGGGTGTCCCACAAGGCAGTATTTTGTCTGTTACCTTTGATAGTATTAAAATAAATAGTCTACCATGGGGAGACGGTTACAAATCTGTCTCAATAAAATTCACAAGTGGTCCCTTTAAAATGGGTTTAGATTTTCTAAATCAAAAACTAATTGTATACATTTCTGAACAAAATATAAGCAGCATAAAGACCGTGAATTATTTATGAATGGCACCCCTATAAAAGTGGTAAAGGAGGCAAAGTTCTTGGGAATTATTTTTGACAGCCATCTAACTTTCTTACCACATATAAAATCCCTTAAAGCTAAATGTCTGAAGGCACTCGATTTACTGAAGGTAGTTTCTAATTCTAAGTGGGAGGGGATCAGACAACCCTCTTACACTTGTATAGATCACTGATTCACATTTAGTTATTGTTAAAGAAATTAAATTGTCCCATAAATTTTGATTAATATGTTGTGTATATAATATAGTGTTTTTGTAATTGGCAGAATAAATGTGATAGCTGAGATTGATAGTGGCTGTATCCTCGAAGGGGGTTGAAGTAGTGTAAAATTATTGTCCCCTGGAGGGGGTATGTAAGACCACGTAATTCAAAGTAGATTTATTCTTACCACATCCTTTAACCGTAGAATATATGTTGTTCTAAAAAGGCTAAATGTGTTAATAATCGCCAACACCTGAAGGGATGTTGTAAATCCAGCTGGGGTCCATACAAGTAGCAAAAGTACTGTAAGTCCCCATGGTCCCCAGTATGGTGAGCTACCTTCAGTTGTTGGAGATCAATAGCCTGTGTTTATCATGTATTGTAATGTATCATAATGTTATGATTCCATGCTAGTTTAAAATATTTCTCTGTGATTAGTCTAGTTATTTAACTGCCCTTCGTTGGCAGGTAATTATAATCTTTGATAGTCACGATATGGCTGAAATATTGCCGATGTGACTTAAAACCCACTCACTCCTTTCAAAATTTGCTTACGGCTCCATCGTCTATGATGGAGCATGTAAAAGTAATTTAAAAAAACTTGATACTATCCATCACCAAGGACTGAGGCTTTGCCTTGGAGCCTTTCGCACTTCTCCTATTCCAAGTCTGTCTGTTGAAGCTGATGAGCCTTCTCTTAAACAACAATGTCTGAAACTATCTTTACAATACATCATTAAATTATATTCTAATGCGTCAAATCAAGCTTTTAATTGCGTATTTAATCCTCTTTACGAAGATATTCACAATAAGAAAACATCTCTTCTTCCACCACTAGGAATAATAATTAAATCTCTCGTTTCTGCTGCTAAGATTAACTGTCAGGATATAGCTCCCATACAACTGTTTTCATCGCCTCCTTGGCAAATGTAGACCTCACATTGACTAGACTTAATAAATATGACATTTCCTTATTGTTTTAGATAAACATGTAAACATCCATTTTTAATTAAAATTCTTGAGTCATTTAATGATCTTGCTACTGGCATATATGACATCGTAATTTGTTGGTTACCCAGCCATGTTGGTATCACTGGTAACTAAATGGCTGATGATACTGCAAAAGCAACACTCAACAAATCTGTGACACCACTTCTTATCCCATACACTGATTATAAACCTCAGATGTGTGATGTGTGGTAAGAATGAGAGATGACGCTATTGTTTAGTGAGACTATTAATTTTGATGCTGAAAAGTGTGACTGATAGTATGCTGCCTTGAGGGGAACGCCCTGATCTTGATCGAAATGATCAGACAGGGTAGAGCCCACTCGTACCTGAAATTGTCTGTTGTTTTGAGATTGAGATATGAACTATGGTAATCTGCCCGTCAATCCAAATTCATGCAAATCTTTTAAAATACCATGTTTTCACGTTGTATCATATGCCTTCTCCAGATCGAAAAAGATTGATACAGCATGTTGTTTGTTGACAATGGAATTTTTAATAAACGATTCTAAACGCACCTAATGGTCAATGGTACTTCTGATTTTTCGGAAACCACACTGGATGTCACTCGGGAGGTTATTGGTCTCCTCTGCCGACACAGGGTCGCAACCCACGGCAAACAGGCTGCCCAATTCGGTCGCCTTATATGACCAGCATTTGGGTGCTGAGGACACATTCTTGTTTATCTTCCCCGGGTCCCCACGGGGAGTCAAGAGAAAGACGCACGTCATTATGAACTTCCACAAACAACGTTGGTTTTGGGACGGGGGGTGTTTACCACTTACTAAAATGCTATATATTTAAATGTTGGCATTTATCCGCTACTTTTGAAAGCATAACTTTGTTATTGCATGCTCTGACAGAGAAGTTACATGTATGTAAAAAATACTCTCTGAAATCATTCTATAGAACAGTCTATTAAATTCTGAAATGGACGTATCAAACGTCGTTCCTGGGGCAATCATCTGTAAGGTGAAACATTCTATGCGTCCCATAAACGAGATGTACTAATCAAACCTATTTGGTGTCAAATATGTGCTCTATTTGTGCAGGCCACATTCTTGAGACTTGCCTTCGGACGACTATGGGGGTAAGAAGACGTGACGACACCCGCATATGTCTGGACTAAATGTTCGAAAAAAGAATGTTTTGAAAAATTGTCTAATATTGGCCCAGGGATATTAGCTTTATTAGCTTTCTAGGGATATTAAGGATTAAGACGACATTGAAAAGAACTACAGAAGTTAACATTATTTACAACGTGGACAAAATTCGCATCTAGATACCTTCACTTCTCTTGCTTAGGTTCAAATGGTATTTTTTACGTTAACACTTAACTGAAGAGAATGCACTACCATATATTTGATAGCTTTCGTGGACTTTTCACGCTCCTAATATTGATTGTACTTGCGCGACTCTGTGTGCATAGATTGACCCGTCGTGGACTGACCTGTGAAGATCTGGGGTAGAATAGGCTTTCAGCAATCCATAATTGCCTTTAAAGGTGACTATACTTGTCATAAGAAGCAACTAACGGTATTGGGTGGTCAGGCTCGCTGACTTGGTTGACACAGTCATCGTATCTCAATTGCGTTGATCGATTCTCAGGATGTCAATCACTGGATTGTCTTGTCCAGACACGATTATTTACAAACTGCCGTCTATAGCTGGGATATTGCTGACTGAGGCGTTAATAAACAAAGCAACCAACCAACCAACGTGATGGTGGAATAACGAGATATTGAACTCCAATCACGTGTCTAATGTCTAGGTATTAGATAAGGTACACGCTTATCCTGTTTGCAGTATGTAACCACTCATCAGGTGCTTCTACGTGCAGTATATTTTCGGTTCATATTTTGGGGAGTCCAAATACGAATAAACAAATCCTTTATTACATTAAACATCAGTTGTAACTGCTGCAGTGCATTGTAATAACACATTTTATAGCAATGAAAACAGAACCAAATCTAAAGGATACAGAAATCAAGGAGTTTATTAGCAACACACTGTGCCTATGTTAGGAGTGAACAATTGCCCTTGGAGTGGCCCCCTATCAAAGAATGAGATCATCATCCACATACCAGTAAACATGTGCAAGGCCAATCTTGGCGATGTCCATTTTCTCCATTTCAACCACCCCAGTTCTGTTAACCGGCCAATACAGCCCATCCGGATCAAATTTCATCATTGTACATCCAATAGGGTTATGCCACCACGAAACGCTTTCAGCACGGGCACAGCCATTGACGTCATTGTCAAACGTCCCAAAACGTGCCCCATTCATGCTCTTGGTGGCGTCACCAACAGCCCCGAAACCATCCAGGTATTTATCATTGCTAAAGGTTACACTATCCCAGTGGCATGCATAGCCGTCAGCTTCTGAGTCAACACGGAAGTTTTTATAACGTACAATCCCTGCGTCTTTAACAAAACGAATCACCTCAACAACCAAGTTATACATACCCTGTTTAGTTAACTCGTGTAGGATTTCAAGGCCGATAAAATAATACATGCCGGGTAATATGGGAAAGCCGTGTTTCATCTGTTCCCATGACAGTGTATAATTTGCATTGGTTGCAAGGTTATATTCTGAAACCTCAATATCAAAGAGAGACGAAGATGTACATGGCCATTGGAAAACAAAGTCTGACTCTAGCGGCTGAATCAAGTATTCATCATTTCCAAGAGGTGTCTCCAAGCAATCTGAATTGAAAAAGAAAAGTGAATGAGATAAAAAGTCAATTAATTTAGAGATGCCTTGCTACAGAAATGTCTTAAATATCCGAACAAATTTCAGGGCAAAAGATATTGTGACAAGGAAAAAGAGAATCCGTTAAATGTTTTTTACTGCAGATGGTGGAATTATATCCCATGGGAAGAGTGAGTGAGTGAGTTAGAATTTAACGTCGCATCGACATTATTTCAGCCATATAGCGACGAGACCAAGTTAATATATTTACAATTTTGTTTTTTATGCAAAGTTTAATTAAAAAACAAGTTGTGAAACACACTTAAGCATACTATATTCAATGTCATATTTAAAAACAATTTCTGAAACATATTTGAGCATACCATATTTAAAAGCAATTTATGAAACATATTTGAGCATAACAATATCATGTATACAGTTTTAAAACACGGGCTATAGGCCACCAGTAACCAAAGCTAGGCCACCTCACTGGGGATCATGGGGATTTACAGTACCTCTGCTTCCTGCATGATACCCAGGCAGGATTACGTCATCACAGCTATTGGTGGTTGTGCACAATACTAGCCCATATTTAAAAAATACTCAGCAATGAGTTGGCTTAAAAAAAAAACACTTGTTGATGATAGTTACACCAATTATAACGATACTTTAACCCCCTGGACAGAGCCTTCAATAATGTCAGTTGATAATGGCATCACACCAAATTTCAAAACAAACATTTACTTATTCACATACATATCTAAAAGTCATTATACAGACCAATCTCCCTCAAACTGCCGACAACAAGACGCCCTCCGACACGGGGAAAGATATCTTGCAGATCCACGCTTTGATTGCGATTGCAAAGTCCAAACAGTCAAGCAATATATGCTTGACGGTGAACCTTTCATCACAAGGGATACACTTAGGAGGTATATGTCCCAAGCTGATATTCGTGTGTAAAGCGACTTTGGTCAATACGACATCGTCGCAAAACAACCTCGTCATGTCTTGACTGACAACCCAAGTTGTTGGTTTCGATTCATGTAGTTTGGAACTCGTGAAGAGCAACCTCCTCGTGGTGAGTGCTGGGTAACGCTAATAGCTCTTCCCCCGTGTGGACTCGGGGTAGAATTTGTCCACAGCACCCCATTGCTGGTCGTAAAAGACGACCGAATTGGGCAACCTGTTTGCCGTGGGTTCCGCCCCTGTGTCGTTGGAGGAAGGGATTCTGGTGGTTGAGGGCACTGGAGCCAGGAACCGGTGTTCCTTTTGCCCAACACATCACTTTGACCCTAACTCCACCTAGACGGGTGGTAGAATTCTATCAATCGGCTGGTCAGGCAAAGCCCTGTGCATAAAATTGTTCATACACACGTGATTTTTATAAATGTATTATTTTGACTTGGTTGTGTATAACATGCTTGAATTCTCAAACTATTAATGTAACAATTTGCCTAGAGTCTTAAGCCAAAAGGCGGTGGCTCATGGGCCAATCTTTTTGATGTTGACCTCCAAATTCGGTATGTATCCAACTTCTTGTCATTGGCCGAGCCAGCCTGGCATTTAATTTGGTATACAAATATTGCTATTTGCGTCATATTTGCTGGAGTATAACATCCCTGTATCCCTGGTGTTTGCTTCATGGATATCCTGTGCACCAAAAAAACGTTCTTTGTAACACTCCATGGTGGGCGGGGAGCAGGGGTGCTGAATTACTTTATTTCATCATGTCTCACCAATACCCTGGTTCAAACCGAACAAAACGTCGACATGTGGATCTAGATGACACTGATCAAAATAAAAAATAATCTCGTTGAATGGACTCCTGAGCACGACTTATTGTGTTCGAGGCAGCCGATAAGCAACCCTTGAAGCTTAATCCTTTTGCTATTTCAAAAGCTGTTTCGGGAATTTGCAGAGAAGTTAAAAATGTGACACGGCTTTGTGGTGGCGCTCTACTTGTTGAGTGTTCATGGAGACAGCAATCTCTGAATCTGCTATTTTTAACTACATTTGCAAATATTGAGGTTGCTGTTTCCGTGCACAAAACCTTGAATTCTTGCCGAGGCATTGTTCGAGACAGAGCTCGTTGCCTGTCCGACATGACAGAGCAAGAAATTACAGATGAATTGACAAGTCAAGGGTAACTGCAGTTAAGCGTTTTACTATGAAATCTAGAGACGGTGACACCATCCCGTCAAACACCTGTATGCTAACATTTGCACTGTCGACCCTTCCTAAATCTATTAAAGCTGGTTATCTCAACATCGGAGTGGAGGTGTATGTCCCCCATTGGCTCGATTTTTCAAGTGCCAAAAGTTTGGACATGAATCAAAATCTTGTGTTCACTCTGTCGACTGTACAGCTGAAATAAAATGTGCAAACTGCAAAGCTCAACATCTGGCTTCATCAAGATTATGTCAAGAATGGCAAAAAAAATCAAAAATCCTGAAACTCAAACATGAGAACAATATCTCGTTTTACGAAGCTAAGAAGCTTATTGAAAATCAATCTCCTCAAACTCCACTAACCAGAACCTATTCTGCTGCTACAGCTATCTCTGCACCTTCAACTCCTCCAACAATAGGCACTCGTGAAGAGCAACCTCCCCGTGGTGAGTGCTGGGTAGCGTTAATAGATCTTCCCCCGTGTGGACTTGGGGTAGAATTTGTCCACAGCAACCCATTGCTGGTCGTAAAAGGCGACCGAATTGGGCAACCTGTTTGCCGTGGGTTCCGCCCCTGTGTCAGTGGAGGAAGGGATTCTGGTGGTTGAGGGCACTGGAGCCAGGAACCTGTGTTCCTTTTGCCCAACACACCACTTTGACCCTAACTTCACCTAGACGGGTGGTAGAATTGGCCCGATTCTATCAATCGGCTGGTCACGCCATGCCCTGTGCATGGAAAGCACGCATACTTACTAATATATATCTTACCAAAAGTGTTCTCGTACTGAACATTGATACAACTAGTTATATCATCAATTGTTGCCTCGAGTCCTATGCCAGAAGGCGGTGGCTCATTGGCCAGTCTGGCTTTATTAACCTCCTGGTTCTGTTTGTCTTCAGTTTGTAGTCAAGGGCCGAACCAGTCTGACTTTATATCTGTTTGACAGAAACAGCTACCTGCGTTGATATTGCTTGAGTATCACACCTCTGTAGCCCTGGTGTTGCATGATGGCTTCCTCTGTGCACCGTCCTTGTTGACACTGGATGGTGGGTGGGGAGCAGAGGTGCTGAATAAAATACTTCTACCATGGCTCATCACAATTCATCTGGTTCTATCAAAACAAACAAACGTCGTCATGTCGATTCTTATTCGTCTGATGAAGAAGTATCACATGAGATTGCAGATTCTTGGCCAAGATTTATTGTCATCGCATATTGTCATCGCATCTGTCGATGGCAGTCCACTTAAACTAAATCCTTTTGCCATCTCTAAGGGCATCCAAAGTGCCTGTGGAGAGGTAACAAATGTCACTCGTCTTCGTTGTGGTTCCATCCTTGTGGAATGTGCACGGAGACAACAATCTGTCAATCTGCTGGGTCCACAGCAGTTTGTTAACACCAAGGTTGTTGTTTCGGTGCACAGGACACTGAATTCCAGCAGAGGCACTGTCCGTGACTGCGCTCGATGTCTTTCTGATATGACAGAAGATGAGATTGTTTCCGAATTAAAGCACCACGGAGTCACTGCTGTTTACCCGTAAATCTGAAGATGGCATTATCATTAACACTCAAACATATCTTTTCACTTTCTGCCTTGGAAAAATTCCAACATCTATCAAAGCTGGTTACTTTAACATCAGAGTGGAGGTTTATGTTCCAAATCCACTCCGGTGTTACAAGTGTCAAAACTTTGGACACAGGGCCAAAACTTGCACTCGCAAGGCAAGGTGCTTCCGTTGCAGTGGGACTCATGAGAGTTCTGAGTGCACAAATCAGATCAAATGTGCCAACTGTGACGGTGAGCATGTGGCCTCATCCAAATCCTGACCAATATTTATCCGTGAATCTCAAATATTAAAGATAATGTTTCTTATTAAGAGGCAAAAAAATTGGTTCAAATTCCGTCACAAACCCCTTCCAATAAAACCTATTCTGCTGCAGTCTCTTCTCCAACTCCAGCCATCACTGCCAAGACCGTGTCTACTTGCTGCCAAACTGATATCTCTTGGGTCAACGATGACCAGTTTATTTTCCATGAAGCTACTGAGATATCTAAAACGCAATCCTCATCTGCTTCCCGGACAGAAACTCAGAAAATGCCATAAACACAGAATCTGCAATCTAAATCACCAGAACTTGATAGTATTAAGGTTACTTCAAAAGTGGCACTCGTGAAGAGCAACCTCCTTGTGGTGAGTGCTGGGTAACGCTAATAGCTCTTCCGCCGTATGGACTCGGGGTAGAATTTGTCCACAGCACCCCGTTGCTTGTTGTATGAGGCGACCAAATTGGCCACCGTTGGTTCCGCCCCTGTGTCGGTGGAGGAAGGGTGTCTGGTGGTTGAGGGCACTGGAACCAGGTGTTCTATTTGCCCAACACACCACTTTGACCCTAACTTCACCTAGACGGGTGGTAGAATTGGCCCGATTCTATCAATCGGCCGGTCACACCAAGCCCTGTGCATAAAATCGTGTATGCACTCACGTGATTTTTTATAAATGTATTATTGAGACTTGGCCATGTAAAACATGTTTAAATTATCAAATAATCTATGTCACAATTTGCCTAGAGTCTTATGCCAGAAGGCGGTGGCTCATGGGCCAATCTGGTGATGTTGACGTCCGAATAATATATGTCTCCAACTTCTGTCATGGGCGGAACCAGTCTGGCTTAGAGTTGGTAGATAAATGTAGCTATACGCGTCATATTTGTTGGAGTATAGAACCCCTGTATCCCTGGTGTTTGCATCTTGGATATCCGTTGCAATGTGACACCGTCCTTGTTGACGCTCCATGGTGGGTGGGGAGCGGGAGTTCTGAACTACTTTCTGTCATCATGTCTCTC